TAGGCCTGTATTGCGATATACTTCCCTCTTAGGACTGCCTTTGCTGCATTCCAAAGGTTTTGGACTGTCATGTTTTTTCATTTGTTTCCATGTATTTTTAAATTTCTTCTTTAATTTCCTGGTTGACCCATTCATTCTTTAGTAGGACATTCTTTAGCTTCCACGTATTTGTGGTCTTTCCAAATTTTTTCTCGTGGTTGACTTCAAGTTTCAGAGCATTGTGAGAAAGAAAGAAAGAAAGAAAGAAAGGAAGGAAGGAAGGAAGGAAGAAAAAGAAAGAAAGAAAGAAAGAAAGAGAAAAAGAAGAAAGAAAGAAAGAAAGAAAGAAAGAAAGAAAGAAAGAAAGAGAAAGAAAGAGGAAGGAAGGAAGGAAGGAAGGAAGGAAGAGAAAAGAAAAGAAAAAAAAGGAAAGAAAGAAAATACACAAGGTATGACCTCAATCTTTTTGTACTTCAGGGCTGATTTGTGACCTAATATGTGATCTATTCTGGAGAATGTTCCGTTTGCACTTCAAAAGAATGTGTACTCTGCTGCTTTTGGATGAAATGTTTTGAATATGTCTGTTAAGTCCATCTGGTCCAGTGTGTCATTCAAAGCCATTGTTCCCTTGTTGATTTCCTGCTTACGTGATCTGTCCATTGCTGTAAGTGCAGTATTAAAGCCCCTACTATTATTATATTGTTATCAGTGAGTTTCTTCATGTTTGTAATTAACTGATTTACATATTTGGGTGCTCCCAAGTTGGGGCATAAATATTCACAATTGTTAGATCTTCTTGTTGGAAGACCCCTTTATTATGATATAGTGCCCTTCTTCATCTCTTGTTATAGTCTCTGGTTTAAAATCTAGTTTGTCTGATATAAGGATGGCTACTCCTGCTTTCTTTTGATGTCCATTAGGACGATAAATGGTTCTCCACCCCCTCACTTTCAATCTGGAGGTATCTTTGGGTCTAAAATGAGTCTCTTGTGGGCGCCTGGGTGGCTCAGTTGGTTAAGCGACTGCCTTCTGCTCAGGTCATGATCCTGGGGTCCTGGGATCCAGTCCCACATCCAGCTCCCCCTGCTCTGTGGAGAGCCTGCTTCTGCCTCTCCCTCTGCCTGCCACTCCTCCTGCTTGTGCTCTCTCTCTCTAATAAATAAAATAAATCTTTAAAAAAAAACAAAAAATAAAATAAAATGAGTCTCTTGTAAGCAGCATATCAATGGGTCTTGGGTTTTTTTTAACTGAATATAGTTTTATTTATTTTTACAGTATATATATATATGTTTTTTTACTATGTTCAGTTAGCCAACATATAGTACATCATTAGTTTTTTACATAGTGTTCAATGATTCATTAGTTGCATATTCACATCACGTGCCCTCCTTAATACCCATCATCTGGTTATCCCGTCCCCCAACCCCCTCGCTTCTGTAACCCTCAGTTTGGTTCCCAGAGTCCAGAGTCTCTCATGGTTCGTCTCCCTCTCTGATTTCTTCCCATTCAGTTTTCCCTCCTTTCCCCTCTGGTCCTCCATGCTATTCTTTATGTTCCACATATAAGTGAAACCATATGATAATTGTCTTTCTCTGTGTGACTTATTTCACTTAGCATAACCCCCTCCAGTTCCATCCATGTCAATGCAAAAGGTAGGTATTCATCCTTTCTGATGGCTGAGTAATATTCCATTGTATATATGAACCACATCTTCTTTGTCCATTCATCTGTTGAAAGGTATCTTGGCTCCTTCCACAGTTTGGATATTGTGGACATTGCTGCTATGAACGTTGGGGTGCATGTGCCCCTTATTTTCACTACATCTGTATCTTTGGGTAAATACCTAGTGGTGCAATTGCTGGGTCATAGGGTAGCTCTATTCTTAACGTCTTGAGGAACCTCCATACTATTTTCCAGAGTGGCTGTACCAACTTGCATTCCCACCAACAGTGTAAGAGGGTTCCCCTTTCTCCACATCCTCGCCAACATTTGTTGTTTCGTGTTTTGTTAATTTTAGCCATTCTAACTGGTGTGAGGTGGTATCTCATTGTGGTTTTGATTTGTATTTCCCTGATGGCTAGTGAGCATTTTTTCATGTGTCTGTTAGCCATATCTTCTTTTGAGAAGTGTCTGTTCATATCTTCTGCCCATTTCTTGACTTGATTATTTGTTTTTTGAGTGTTGAATTTAAGAAGTTCTTTTTTTTTTACTTTGCCCATTTTTATTTTACTTTATTTTTTTATTATGTTATGTTAATCACCATACATTACATCATTTTTTTTGATGTAGTGTTCCATGATTCATTGTTTGCGTATAACACCCAGTGCTCCATTCAGTACATGCCCTCTTTAATACCCATCACCAGGCTAACCTATCCCCCCACCCGCCTCCCCTCTAGAAGTTCTTTATAGATCTTGGACACCAGTCCTTTATCTGATATGTCATTTGCAAATAACTTCTCCCATTCTGTGGGTTGCTCTTAGTTTTGTTGACTGTTTCCTTTGCTGTGCAGAAGCTTTTTATCTTGGTATCTGTCAATTTTGACTACAAAAATAATTGTTTAAAAGTTGTATACATGTCAGAATGGTAAGCACAGAAAAAAACCACCCAGAATAAAATGTTTTCATTTGTTTTGTCTTTAACATCCATTTAAAAAAGCACAAGCATGCCAGTAGAGAAAAGGACAGATATAATAGCAGGATAATTTGAGGAATAATTCCCACGGTTAAGAATCAGATGAAACATATATTCAATCTCACTAGTAACGAAAGACATGCAAGTTAGAACAATATTATTTTATACATACATATAAAATTGTTAATGATTAAAACCAGCAATGATACTAGGACAAAGTGTGGTGGTTAAGAGCATGGACTCTAGGGTCAGGCAGATCTAGGGTGGAATTCTATCCCCTCCATTTAGTACTTGTATGACCTTGGTCAAGTCATTATCTTCCCTGGACCTCAGTTTTCTCACCTGTAAAATGGGGATAAGAATAGTTTCTGTATCCTAAGCTTGCTGTGAGTATTGTCTGAGATAGTGTAATGAAAGTGTTCAATATTAAAAATAGGATTAATTCAATAGTATTCATAAAAATACAGCAGATGTAACATTTTTAGCAGTTGTTACATATCAGACATTATGGCTGGTGTGCTCTATATAGGCTGCCTCATTTCACTGAGACTTTAGGACTTAAGGGGGCTGCTTCATATTAGGATTACTCTGTTTAGGAAAATCACCAGCAGAAATAGTCACGTTATAATTTATATATATATATATAATTTATACTCTCCCTCAATCCAGTTTTACCTAGGGTATGGAACAGGCATTCAACTGTCTAGTGCACAGGCATGAGTTCCTAGGAGGCCTGCCAGTCAGGCTGAAGTACACTGTATCCCAACAAGAGGCCTCAGAATCATTCTCTTGAGCTCCACATTGAGCTTAACCCCTGGGAAAAGATGCCCTCAGTTCCCCCAAGACCTAGCCAGAGTTGGCTGGAGGACAGGCTGCACAGTGACACTGAGGTTGGCTCTAATGAGCACTTTGGGAAATGGTGTTCCAGGAGCCTTTAAAACCCTAAGAAAGACTCTTGTCTTTTCAGGCCTAGGGAAGCTGAAAATGAATCATACACTCCATGTTCCTAGTGAACCCTCAGTTCAATAGACCCCAACTTTACTGACAGAGTCTGAAAAGTCCCAGGCACTTCCTCATTGTGGATTATCCATACAGGAGAGAGAAATGGAGAATTTGAAGATGGCTGACACTGACTCATGCTTTCACAGGTGAGAATCCGGAAGGGACAGCACACACACACACACACACACACGCACACACACACACACCCCTCTCTTTTCCCAGCCCAACAGCTAAGCAAAAGTTCCCCGGGTAGATATAAGCCTCTCTATGAACCAAAGAACAAACAGAGGATTAAATATTCACAGAAGCTTCTAAGGTCACAGTTTCTACAAGGCCAATATGAAATGCCCTCTCACACCAGCTCCCTCCAAATCCTAGGGGAGCAGAAGAAAAGAGTGGCTCCTTTCAAGCCCAGGAAACTAGAGCCTAGTTCCTTCCACCTTCCTTCCCCTGAGGAAATATTGCAGAGATGTGGTACAACTGTAGGGGTGAAGGCACAGGCTTTGGATTAAGGCATACCTGCATTTGACTCTCATTTACTAGTTATCTGAGTACATCAAGTATCTCTGAAGCTCAGTTTCACCATTTGCAAAGTAGTCGAGGATACCTACTTCATAGCCTTGTGAAGAATAAAACAGTGCCATGAAGGTGTCTGATATTTAACCAGTCTCTACAAACAGGGGCTGATCATGACAAGAGGCCAGGAGAACTGAAATATCAGCTCCTAGAGCAAATACAGGTGCAGAGGAGCCGAAGGGGAAGAGGACAAAGGAGAGAGAGTGATGTAGGGGCAGAGGTGGCCCCCTCCCTGTTTATGGAGGGGAGGTCCTAGCAAAGGATGGAGAGGATGGTATATCACAGACACTCACAGCCCCCAGCCTATATATCCTGTGCCACCAATTAAGGAAAGGCACAGAGGATGACCACAGGGAATGGTGTGATCAATTTCTAGGGATTGGGGAGGCAAGTAGAGAGGAGGCTATTTTGTTTAATTGTGTGTGTGTGTGTGTGCGTGCGTGTGTGTGTGTGTGGGGGGGGAGGCAGCAACGGAGATCATCCATTTTCTTTTCAATTGGTAAACGTAAATGACTTTTCCAATCTTGCCTTCAAGGATATGCTCAATTCTTACCTCCTCCAATAGCTTACAATGACTAGTCAAACTGATCTCTTCTCTGGACCCTATTATAACACAAAAAGCACAATTTGCATTTGTATGGATATTATCTTGCCTTTCTATGCTCCATGGGTGTTTTCTTTCATATCCCATGAGATTCAAGATTTTCATTGGCAAGGTGCATTTATTCCCCCTTTTTTCCCCAATATAGTTCTGGCTACCCAGATACATATCTGTGATTGATCTAGTAATTAAATACTAACACTTGGAAGGGTTTTATCTGAACAGATAACAAGAACTAGGAGGGATGGGAAAACCAAGCAGAGTGAACCAAACTGCTGTTTCAGACTTCCTCCTTCTTGGACTCTCTGAGAAGCTAGAGGAGCAACCTCTCCTATTCGGCGTCTTCCTGGGCATGTACCTGGTCACCATGACAGGGAACCTGCTCATCATCCTGGCCATCAGCTCTGACCCACACCTTCATACTCCCATGTACTTCTTCCTGGCCAACCTATCATTAACTGGTTGCATTATGATAGGTTGCAACCTATCATTAACCGGGCATTAACTGATGCCTGTTTCACTTCTGCTTCAATCCCTAAAATGCTGGCCAACATTCATACCCAGAGTCGGACCATCTCCTATTCTGGGTGCCTTGCACAGCTGTATTTCCTCCTTATGTTTGGTGGCCTTGACAACTGCCTGCTGGCTGTGGTGGCATATGACCGCTATGTGGCCATCTGCCAGCCACTCCATTACAGCACGGCTATGAGTCCCCAACTCTGTGTACTAATGCTGGTCATGTGCTGGATGCTAACCAACTGCCCTGCACTGATGCACACACTGCAGCTGACCCGTGTGGCCTTCTGTGCCCACAAGGCCATCCCTCACTTTTACTGTGATCCCAGTGCTCTACTGAAGCTGGCCTGCTCCGATACCCACATTAATGAGCTGATGATCATCACCGTGGGCCTAATGTTCCTCACTGTTCCCCTCATGCTGATTGTCCTCTCCTATGTCCGCATTTCCTGGGCTGTGTTTGGCATCTCATCTCCCGGAGGGCAGTGGAAAGCCTTCTCTACCTGTGGTTCCCACCTCACAGTGGTCCTGCTCTTCTATGGGTCTCTCATGGGTGTTTATTTACTTCCTCCATCAACTCACTCTGCAGAGAGTGAAAGTAGAGCTGCCATTCTCTACATGGTGATTATCCCCATGCTAAATCCATTCATCTATAGCTTGAGGAACAGAGACAGGAAGGAGGCCTTGGGTAAACTATTCGGTAATGGAAAAATGTTTTTCTTACCATGACAGTGATGCCTGATCCTGGTATCCTGATCAACCCCTGCCCTTCATCATTTCAGTGATTCCACCACTCTGACTGATTTTTAAGGGAAGATTATCATGTAACTCTGGGTTAGGGGTGTAACAAAAAGGATATTTCTACTCCTTTACCTGGCTCTAGAATGAGCTGTTCTGTCTCAGTCTCTCTCTGGATTCCAGTGAAGCATCCATTACTAAGGGCAGGACACCATTTCCCCTTCCTCATCTCTAAGACCAGATTATTAGCCAGAGTGGACTAAAGGATATGATTCATGCTCTGGAGCCAAGTAACCCTGCCCTTGGGTGCTATGGCACAAGGTAAAGGGATGAGAATACAAACATGTATTGAATATCTACAAGGTTCCTTATTGTTCTTCACATCAGTTCTTTGTGGTAGGATTGTGAGTCAGAATGTAAATAACTTCCCCAAAACAGGTAAATTTGATTCCAATACCCATCCTCTTTCTAGCACACCACATTGTGGAGATCCTGACAAATAGTGATCATGATAGGAGATAAAGAATTAAATTAATATATATTTTACAGTATTTCCTTAATATTTCATTTCTTTAACTTAAGAACACTCCTTTCTGTTATTCTAGGTGAAAGAGGGTCAATATTTATGTGTCCCTACTGTGTGCCAATTTTGTACTAAGTACATGATTCATCCTCTGGGTTCTTTCATAAAATATTCAAAATACAAACACAAAACCATAAATCAAGTGTACTGGAAATTTTAGAGCAATAATTTGAGGAAAGGTAGTCTGGTAGAAATGGGTGTTCTGAGAAGTCACAAGCTTAATAGAGGTTATCTTTTTGCAGTGGGATTACAGGTTACTATTTTTTTTTATATCTAAATGTTTTGAAACATCTAGATAAAAATGTTCCAAATATAGATATTTTTAGAGCCAAGGAATGAAATTTGAGGGTTGGCACAAAAATATTCCAATGATTAGCAAGTCACTCCAGAGAGATAAAGAAGTACCTAAAAACAGAGCTCTCCAAAGTTTCAAGGTCAAGTTCATCTTGTTTTTATTTTTATTTTTTCAAAGATTTATTAATTTATTTTAGAGAGAGCGTGAGTGGGGGAGGGACAGAGAAGGAGGGAGAGAGAGAATCTCAAGCAGACTGCCCGCTGAGCATGGGGCCTAATGCCCCCTGGATCAAGTTTTTTAAAAAGGAAGATATGTGGGATGCCTGGGTGGCCCAGTCTGTTGAGCATCCAGTTCTTGGTTTTGGCTGGGGTGATGATCTCAGAGTCATGAGACTGAGCCCCACATCAGGCTCCACGTTCAGTGTGGAGTCTGCTTAATACTCCCTCTCCCTCTCCCTCTGCTCCTTCACCCTACTCTCTCTCTCTAAAATAAATAAATAAATCTTAAAAAAAAAAAAGGAGGGTATGAATTTTTGATGTGTTGTACAATAGCTCTTGCTTTGAAAGGAAGATTGCACCTGTGCGCGTTTCCCTTTGGCCATCATCCCTTCTCCCCTCTGTGCTTTCTTGGATAGAAGAAGTGGGAATAATGTGACAGCCAGCCAAACCAGACTATTAGACCATCCTGGCCTTGAAGTAGGTTACTTGGCCCTGATCGCAGCAATCTACTACTGCAATTTCCAGGAAGAAAGCAAAGTTTAAAAGAGCAAGTTTTGTGTTTGTCAGTAATATCCCTCTTTTCTGAACCAATTTTTTTTTAATAATTTTTTTTATTGTTATGTTAACCACCATACATTACATCAT